AACAAATAAATAAATGAAATTTAAAATGCAATTGAAAAACGAGACATATTCAATTAGAAATCAATACAACATTTATATACAAATCAAACAATATACAGACAGGATAATTGATGTATGTTGTGTAGGCGAAATGTGTATGCGCTTTCTTCAGATTTCAGAATATCTCTTTTCGTAATTGTTCGTTCATTTGGAGTATTTTTTGTTTGTGTCGATATTTGCGATTTTTGATATTAAGTGTCTTATAGAAATAGTTTTTTAAGAGTGATCTATCTTTAACTGTAATATTTTTCTAAGGTCGTTCGTTCGTAGAGTTTACTTAATAAGTAGTGAATTTGATTCACTTTAGATAAGCAAAGTTGATAAATGATGTACACAGAGTTGATTGATGCTTGATCGAGTATGAGTCAGCGATGTATCTTTTTGCGCGGCAAAATTGTGATTCGTAGTGACGTGAAGTATTTTGGAAGGTTCTCTGTGAATGCGTGTTACTGACTGCATAAAGTTGGTAATTGTCTTTAACGTCTGGTCAGCAATGACTAAGACGGGAGTCGGTGAATGTTACATCTTGAAACTTGGTAATTACTGCTCGGAAGGTTCACACGTTTTCTGTTTATATAATCACTGAGTGGCTCCCAGCATAAGAGCGGGACAACAGCTTGGTCGCGTGCAGGCGGTTTGATTGGTCGGAACTGACCAATCAGCAAGCCAGATGGGAGGTGATTGACCAATGAATACTTGCTATATTGTCTGAAGGTAGAATTTGGCTTACTAGATAGGAAGAGTGTATTTCCTACAAAGAGGTAAGGTTGGTTGTGTTGTGGGAGATTCTATAATAGTAATGGTTTTAGAGATAAATGTCTTATTAATTTACCCATAGCTGAGGGAGAAGACGTGGTCTCATTCCTTTGCCGGTGGTATTTGCGCGTAAGTGCATATAATGAAATCAACCATAATTGAAACTCGGCCCTAAGATTAACAATCCCAAGACATTGTCTATTACACCACCTGCACATCCAAGGTTGAAGCACCTGGTATACACATCCCTAGAAGGTAACGAGTCACTTACTTGATGTGCTTTTGAGAATGGATGGCGGAACAAGGGCTGGTGTTTTAACAAACGAAGAAAAACTGTTGAGACACAGATGGTATAGGAAGTTATGGAGAGTCATAACTGCCTTTGTCTTGAAGGAATACTGTATGTAGAATAATAATAATTGTACAGTTGAAACGATGAACTTTGTATGCTGTGCATTTTGTGTATTATAAACCCAGCAAACAAGATGGGGACAAAGGTTGCTCGGTTGATGCCCAGTAGATTGAAAATGGAGACTGCGGTGGTTACAAAACTTTCTCTGACTGATGCTTTGTAGTAGTTATTGGTTCGGACTTCGTGATGTCATTTGCGGCTGCGTGCCATTGGAAATTACTTGGCGTGCCACATATAGCACGCGTGCTGTAGGTTGCTGGCCTCTGCTGTAGAGTCTATTTTTTGGATTTATTTATTAGATTGGTGCAAAAATAATGACGTAATAATGTCGTTTTTTGATGTATTTTTTAACGTCAAAAAACGACATTGTTACGTCATTATTTTTGCACCAACCTAATATAAATAATAATAATAACAGTAATAATTAAAAGTGTATTGTCTCATAGTGTTGGGATAAAAAGCAACAATGATAAGATGGTTTAAAACAGAGGTCGGCAACTTTTAATTATATGCCGACTTATGTTTTAACAAAGGAAGAAAAACTGTTGAGAGACAGATGGGATAGGAAGTTGTGGAGAGTCATAATTGCCTTTGTCTTGAAGGAATACGGTATATAGAAGAAGAATAATTGTACAGTTAAAACGATGAACTTTTTAGGCGACTCCTTCATTTACTCTGTTATCGAATGACGCAATATATCGATGCTCAAAACTTCATAGAACCACGTGGTCATTTCACAATGCCTCTTACTCCAAGTGCAAGTAGAAACTTTCGATTTAGGCATGTGGTGTATTTTCAATCAAGCGAAATTTAAGGAGGAGATCTGTGCTAGCTGAAAAAGAGACTAATTTTAAAAGTTCTCTTTTCAGCTGAGAACTGCATGATCGTTTGAGGGTGCTGCTGAGAAAGTCTCTGTTTGATCCATTTCCCAACCTCTCTATTTGGAAAAGGTGTTCTTTTATATTTGAAAGTGCCAATCTGTAGGCGTCTAGCGTTTATGCGTCACTGAATTATACAAACAGTATGTGTTGATTCCAATCTTACTGGGAAATGACTATTTATTTCGTATTTAAATACAAAATATTGTCATACGGCCGAAGGAGAGGTGGAGAAAGGCTTATATTCAGTAACTATCCTAGTCCTAGTTAAACATAATCACGACCCTTTCATTCAATACAATATACACAATCTCCACAAGAACTTGTCCATTACCTATCAATCCTACATGTACCATAATACTACATATTCACAAGGGACTTACAAAACACATCTTACTGGGGAATAAATTTATTTCGAACACACTTCCAGACCGGCTAGATGACGTACCCTCAAAAAATGACTCGAAATACCTAGTCTGGCAGGAACATGGTGACCAATTCGAGTTTCAGGTCTTTCATTGGTTCGTCCTACATACTCAGCTTCACACTGATATTTAAATTTATACTCGATAGAACTATTTTGAAAATAGGACAAATCATCTTTGACAAAAGAAGGAAACACCGAATTAGTCCCCAAAACGGCACCTAACCTGGTAGTAGAAAAACCTGATCTGACACAAGCCAACAGTCTGTCGCTCAGTGTTCGACTTTTCCCACCCATGCACATTAAATTTAAATAAATGGAGCACAGATTGGGACCAAAATCTACCGGTTACATAAAAGTGAACATTGAAGTCACACCCAGTGGTGACAGTCTTTTTTCATGAGTCATCAGGCCATATGCCTTGTGTTTTTGCTCGACTATTTATATAATGATACATAGTCGGCAGTCGATTGCATTGCCTTATGGGTAATCTATTGTATTATTCTAACGATTATTTTGGTGGGCAGTAACGGTTGTTTCGAGTGCTATTGAGTGGAAATAATTATGGATCTGGATGCAGTATTTTGTCTATTTATTGTGTTGCTTTTATCTTTTTTATTTAATATTGATTATTTTATTGTTGCTTGTTATTGAGTTTACTTGTGTTTATCTGTGCTTTCATGGCTTGTTAATTTGTTTACTAGTTACTTAATGTATCTACTTATATATTGGCTTGGATTAATATATTTTATTTGTTATTATTCTTTATTCTTGTTCGATTATATTACATATATATTTTGTTTATTCTTGCTCGTTTCATATATATATATATATATATATATATATATAGAGAGAGAGAAGAGATAGATAGAGATATATATAGATATATGGGTCGGTCTTTTTGATACCCACCACGTTTGGTTTGGTTTGGTTTGGTTTATTTTGTTTTACGTCATATCAACATTAATGAGTTGCTTAATAGCAATAAGATTATTAGGATAGGTTCGTATGAATAGAATATATATTCTTTATAAGAAATCAATTATAGATAAGGTTTCATTGACCATTTATTTAAGGAAAGTTTTTGTCGACAGTCAAATGTATTGACAGTAATTTGTTTTTTTCAAAAATGTATTGCTGGTAATTTTTTTTTTAAATGTATTGATGGTATTATTTTTTTTTAAATGTATTGCTGGTATTATTTTTTTTAAATGTATTGCTGGTAATATTTTTATTTAAATGTATTGCTGGTAATATTTTTATTTGAATGTATTGCTGGTAATATTTTTTAAAAATGTATTGCTGGTAATATTTTTTTTAAAAATGTATTGCTGGTAATATTTCTTTTTAAATGTATTGCTGGTAATATATATTTTTTAAAATGTATTACTGGTAATATTTTTTTTTTAAATGTATTGCTGGTAATATTGTTTTTACAAAATTATATTGCTGAGAATATTTTTTCTAAATGTATTGCTGGTAGTAATTTTATTTTCAAAAATGAATTGTTGGCAATAATTTTATTCCAAAAATATATTGCGGCTATTTTTAAGATAGAAACCTATTTTTAGTTTCATAATATTTTAACCACTATTTGAGAGTTGACTATTTTCCTATAGCTGGGACCCTAACAGGTGCTACCACCCAATGCCAAGGAGGACCTGAGAACAACAGCAATTAAGAGGTGGTTCCACACACCTTAAAACCTCCAATCTTCCGACAGAGGCCTTGGTGCCTAATGTAGTTTATCGTCTTACCCAGGACGCCTCATTGGTGGTGAGGTCTTATCTTACCCCTCTGCAGAGGTGCAGTTGGCGTATTCTGAACCCCCCAGTAGAGGGTGCATCATAACCCCTACGGTTAAGAAGAGAATATTGTACAGTTTATTATAACATGTGGTGAAAATAATATAAATTGATTCAGCAGGAACGAACAAGAACGGTATTTAGTCACACCCCCAGCCACGAGGGCGTCATGTGGCACAAGGCCTTTTTAACGTGGGCATTCCGAGCCCGTGGGCTCGGTCAAAAATATACCCATTGAACCCGTATAAACGGGTTCAGGGTCGGTTTACCTCCCCCGAAAGAGAATCCACTCTTCGGCGTAGCCTCCTTCGGGTTCCTCTCCGCCAGAAGGCAGAGAGTTCAACCGATCAGCCGGTCAGCCGGTCAACCGGTCGCCCGACTTCGGACTGAACAAGAACTGGCATCGCTGAAATAAAACAACACAATAATCAACAGATATTGACTAAACAAATGGAAACCTGAAGATAGCCAAAGGTACTTGGCTGAAACTTCTATCTATAATAACATTTATAACAATCAAAATGTTCGAAAAAATCAAAGTAGATTCAGTGTTTATGAATTAGCAGGAACACGATGACAAAACAACAAAATAATTAACAGATATCCCATATCATTTAAACAAAGGATAACCTGATAATGACCAGAGAGTACTTGGTGGAAACGCTGTGTCTATAATAGCATTTGTCTACGGCCACATCAATTTGAAACACCCGTTCCAGTACGATCATCGAAGTTAAGCAATGTCGAACCTGGTCTGTATCTAGCTGAGTGACCGCTTGGGAATACCAGTTGCTATATCCTTGAATGTGCAGGGGGTTTAGTGGATAATGGCTCAGAATTGTTAATTGGAGGTCCGAGTTCCAATTCCAGTTGGGTTCGTTGTAATCATTTACGTACAAATGCCCTTGAGAAAGGTATGAATCCATCACTTCTCCCCAAATATGGGTTAATCAGTAAAACTTGTATTACTAAAACCATTATCATCCCCCGCCCCCAACAAAAATTCATATTAAATAATCCACCTCTTCTCCCCCCAAAGTATGAATTAAATAGCGGGACAGACTGGGCACTATAAAATTGGTTGGCAACCACTATAGAAGAATGAAATCTCTGAATTCAAAACTGCCTGGAGATGGCTGACAAACTAGTATTACTAAAATCATTATTATCTGAATAAACAAATTCATAGAATCTAAAAATATTTTCTGGTTGCTTGCATTATACACATTATTTGAACTGCTATCCTTATTTTAATTGCCATATTCACAACGTTTCGGGAGTTGTACGCTTGGGCCTTCTTCAGATGACTGGAATTTGGGACCGAATCCTTTATTTTGTCCACCGGCATAGATTACTCTAGGAGACATGTCTCAGTGGATAAAGACGTTGGTTAGATCCAGTGACTAGATTCAAAGAGTTGTTAGTTCAATACCAGGCCACAGAAAAAAAAAGTTGGAGAGTTGAGTGAAAGGGAAATAACTGAGACATCCGGAAGTGGCAGGACACGTGGAACTAGAACAATCTAATGCGATGGGCGAAATAAAGGATTCGATTCGAAATTCTAATCACCGGAGTGTACAACGGCCGAAACGTTGTGAATAAGGCAATGAAGATGAGGATAACAGTCCGAATAATGTAAATAATGCAAGTAATCATAATACATCATCTCAGAGATATAGAGGCCGAAACGTTGTGAATATGGCAATGAAGATGAGGATAACAGTCCGAATAATGTAAATAATGCAAGTAATCATAATATTTCACCTCAGAGATATAGACAGATAGAGAGATGGATATGAACATAAATAAAGAGAGAAATAGACTGATCGATATGAATAGAATACTTAAAATGGAATAAAGGGTTCGGTTCGAAATTCCAATCACCTGAAAAAGACCGGTGCGTACAACAACCGAAACGTTGTAAATATGGCAATAAAAATGAGGGTAACAATCCGAATAATGTAACGAATGCAAGTAATCATAATACCTCATCTCAGAGATATAGAGGTCGAAACGTTGTGAACATGGCAATGAAGATGAGGTTAACAGTCCGAATAATGTAAATAATGCAAGTAATCATAATACCTCATCTCAGAGATATAGAGGCCGAAACATTGTGAATATGGCAATGAAGATGAGGATAACAGTCCGAATAATGTAAATAATGCAAGTAATCATAATACCTCATCTCAGAGATATAGAGGCCGAAACATTGTGAATATGGCAATGAAGATGAGGATAACAGTCCGAATAATGTAAATAATGCAAGTAATCATAATACCTCATCTCAGAGATATAGAGGCCGAAACGTTGTGAATATGGCAATGAAGATGAGGATAACAGTCCGAATAATGTAAATAATGCAAGTAATCATAATACATCATCTCAGAGATATAGACAAATATTTCCTGGCTTTAAATAACCTAAAAAAAGGTAGATAAGCCGTAGAAAATGAATCAATCATATCAAGTTGGGATCAAGAGTGATCATAATTCAAATGCCGATTTCTCTTCTCAAAAATGAAATATAAACGACATATGAATATTTGCAGCATTTTCTCCTTCCGAAAACAGATATTTTTGGACAGGCTTACTGCGTTTGTCCGACAACTATTTTGATAGCGTATTAGCGGTAGGAAAAGATCACTTTTGCTCCGCCTCTGGTGGTCTAATCGACACTTAAGTGTGAACAGCTAATAAAATAATTGGGATTAATCATTATTTAAATTAAATTAGAACATGCATTACATTTTGGCCGATCCCGTGTAATGTTGTGATAGAGCTAATTAATCTTTTCTACGATACTGGCAATATTCAGTTTCTGTTAGTGACCGAGATGGTCGAAATTACTCAATCCAAAAGGCAGAATTTGGAGAGTTTACCGACAACGTTCATCAGGATTTGCAACAAATTATTCGAAAATTGGAAAAATATAATTTAAAAATTCAACATATATAATTGAATTAAATGTATGTTTAAATGAATCTTTGCAGGCTAAGTGTACTCTCTCCCTATATATATATATCACTTTCTCACAGTCTCTCTCTCTCTCTCACACACACACACTCTCTCTCTCTCTCTCTATTTCCTGATATACTCTGAGGAGTAGACGGAGTGATTGCTGGAGGCTTCATCTACGAAACTCTAAAATTGGGATGCTATTAAGTGACAAATTTTTTATCTCTATTAATTCTCTTTTCTCTCTCGCTCTCTAACTATATATATATATATATATATATATATATATATATATATATATATATATACAGTAGCGTCCAAAACTAAGGGACAAAATTTCAAAACCTAATATTTGTTAGAAATAACAACTGTGAAAAGCTGAAATTTTGACAACTGTTAGTCGTTAACATCCATAATAACATACTAAAATTTGAATCATTTACAAAGGATAGAAAAAGAATTATAACAATTAATGATCGTCCAAAAGTAAGGGACAAAATTGAGAAAAACAATGTAAACGGCAAAAAAACAATAAAAATACATGTACAATCAATATTTAGTAAATGAGCCCTTGCTCTCAATGACAGCTGCACATCTTCGACTACAAGAACGAATCAGTTCTTGACAATCCTCGATACTAATTTTAGACCATTCTTCTTGAAGCTTCACCCACAAATCCTCCGTGTTAGTGGGATTTCTTTCCATAACTTTCACTCCTAAGGTCTTCCAAAGATTTTCTATTGGATTTAAGTCAGGACTTTGCGGTGGCCAATCCATAATTTCCAAATCTTGCTCGCTAAGGTAACTCTTTAGAGGAAATCAAAAAATTTGAATATAGCATACTGTTTACATTGTTTTTTCTCAATTTTGTCCCTTACTTTTGGACGATCCTATTTTGAAAATAAATAAATAATTGTTATAATTCTTTTTCTATCCTTTGCAAATGATTCAAATTTTAGTATGTTATTATGGATGATAACGACTACCAGTTGTCAAAATTTCAGCTTTTCACAGTTGTTATTTCTAACAAATATTAGGTTTTAAAATTGTGTCCCTTAGTTTTGGACGCTACTGTATATATATATATATATATATATATATATATTAAAGACATTTTTACGTTTAACATTCTTTTTATAGATACAAGTATTTAAGTAGATGCTCTGTTTATAATAAACAGTATTAAATAACATTTACCGGCCTGAATGTCCGAGAAATTTTCATAGAAAATATTCGTCCTTTGACAGGATTCGAACCTGCATCCTATACGAATATCAAAGGACGAATATTTTCTATGAAAATTTCTCGATCATTCAGGCCGGTAAATGTTATTTAATACTGTTTATTATAAACAGAGTATTTACTTAAATACTTGTATCTATAAAAAGAATGTAAAACATAAAAATGTCTTTAATAAATTGTCGGACTTTGTCCATTTCTTAATGTATATATATATATGTATTAGTAGTAGTGGTAGTATTAGTAGTAGTAATCTTATAAGTATAAGAAATTATACTCGTTCGGAAAACCTTCGGTGTCTTGATTTGCGAATAAACAAACCAATACCAAGGGGAAAAAAGATATAAAAAAAGAAAGAACCAAGAACATGTACGTTAGTCGAAAATAATCATCTAGCATGCAAGTCCAAAGCCCAAAGAAAAAAACGATACGATTAAGCAAAATAACTAAATAAAGTGCTCAATACGGTAAGTAGAGCAGACCTAGTTTAAACTAGAGAGCCAGACAAACCTACCAAGGTTTCACCTAAGACGATTCACTTATGTGAAACCTTGGTAGGTTTGTCTGCTCTCTAGGTTTAACGATATATATATATATATATATATATATATATATATATATATATATATATATATATATATATTGAAAAGGTAATAAATCAGTTGGTATATAATCCAGGTAGATCCTAGTAATAAAATATTAAAACTGATCCACAAAAAGAGCTCAATGTATGATTTTTGAATTTTATTGTTTATTAATTATTTATATATATATATATATATATATATATATATATATATATATATATATATCAGAGATAGAGCGTGTGTAAATATAAAAGTGAACATATGAATATTTTCTTTCTTGAACTCAAGAAAAATTCGGATTACTAACACAAAAAAGAGAATGTCTCATATCGAGAATATTTAACATCGAAAAACATAAAGGAGAAAAAATTAATTATTTTTTTTAATAATATGTGTAAATACCCACCTTTTGCCTGATGAAGGTCGCGAGACCAGAAACACGTGTACTAAAATTAAGGAAAATAAAGCATAATATTTTTTTTTTAAATTCCACATTAAAACCAAAAACGTTTGCGGTATCTCTCTTCCTTTTAATATACACACTTTTCTCTCGTTGGAACTACTATAAACTCTTCCTTATATATATATATATATATATATATATATATATATATATAAAGATGAATTAACCGTTAGAAAAAACAAATAAAGATAGTAAATCCAAATAAGTAAAGGAAGTAATAAACAAATTACAAACTGCTCCCGCTAAAATAATAGTTAGAATAAACAACAGCAATCAACCCTAGAATTGAATAAATAGCTTTAATTATCTTCCCAAACCAAAACAAAATTATTAAAGAAGCGATAGAAACAAACTTTTTACTGCATTAATAATTCACCGATTAAAATAATAAATAAATAAATAAGATACGAAATAAAATAAAAAAATAAATAAAAATAAGCAAAATAATTTAACCCAAATAAATAAACGACTTCCGGCGAAATAACCGCCAAAATAAACTACCCACAATGCACCACTGACCCGTATATATAAATAGCCGAGAAAAACAA